TCCATATTGTCGTCATATTATATTTTTTATTTTGTTTGATGTCTTGATCTCTCTCTGTCAGTCCTCCTCCAACTGTAAGTTATTTCCTCTCTCTTTTCCTTCTCTATCTTGCCTCTGCTGCATTGTGGTTACTCCTTTTACAATTTTCTCATAAAATTTTAATGTTCATCTGATTTTCACACAGAAAACAACTGCTTTATTTAGGGGCTATCCTTAAGTATGACTGCTCAGTCCATCTGTCAGTTGTGAACTGCTGAATTGCGGTTTGACACCACCACACCCACATGAGTACATGCTACAGTTTTATTATAAAAGGCCACATATGCTAAATGAACATAATGCTATGGTCCATGGTACATCAAAGAGAATAAAAAGTAGAATCTCTTCTGTAACAGAAGATACTTGCGATTAATTTACAGGTAAACGTTCCTGGTCTATAGTCAAACTTATTCAATTCAATTCAATTTTATTTGTATAGCGCCAATTCATAACAGAAGTTATCTCAGGACACTTTTCAAATAGAGCAGGTCTAGACCGAACTCTTTAAAACATTAATTACAGAGACCCAACAGTACCACCATGAGCAAGCACTTGGCGACAAGGGCAAGGAAAAACTGCCTGTTAAAAGACAGAAACCTAGGACAGATCCTCCGGCTCTAGGTGGGTGGTCGTCTGTCTCGACCAGTTGGGGTGAGAGAGAGAGAGAGAGAGAGAGACAGACAGAGAGAGAGAGAGACAGACAGACAGACAGACAGACAGGTGACACAAGCAACAACGGTATTGGCAATGGCAATCTAGCAGGACCATGGCAGGAGGCTCCACCAGGATCGACAAGAACCTGCGAGACGAGAAAGCACAAGAACTCCGGGGAAAAAGTGAAGTTAGTAACATGCATTAATGGAACATGAATGAGTGCAGAAAGAGAGAGGAAGGGAGGAGCTCAGTGCACCATGGGAAATCCCCCAATAGTCTAGGCCTATAGCAGCATAACTAAGGGATGGTTCAGGACTCACCTGATCCAGCCCTAACTATAAGCTTTATCAAAGAGGAATGTCTAAAGCCTACTCTTGAATGTGGTGAGGGTGTCTGCCTCCCGAACCACAAATGGAAGCTGGTTCCACAGGAGAGGAGCTTGGTAACTGAAGGCTCTGGCTCCTGTTCTACTTTTAGAGACTATAGGAACCAAAGCCCAGCATAAAAAAAAAAATTATTTTTTTTTTTTAAGGCCAATTTAAAAAAAAAATTTTTTTTGGGCATTTTTTAAAAAGGGGGGGTTTAGACCGAACTCTTTAACATTAATTACAGAGACAACAGTACAATGAGCAAGCACTTGGCGACAAGGGCAGACTGCCTGTTAAAGGCAGAAAGACAGATCTCCGGCTCAGGTGGGTGGTGTCGTGACAGTGGGGGGAGAGAGAGAGAGAGGGGCGCCCAGGTGACAGCAGTATGGATGGCAGTAAGCAGAAGGCAGGGGCAAGGATCAGGCGGCCAAGAACTCCGGAAGGTGGAGTAGTACTGCATTAAGGGACATGAATGAGTGCAGAAGAAGAGTAGCTTAGTGCACCAGGAAATCGAAGTCAGGCTAAGCACATAACAAGGGTGGTTCAGGACTAGATAGCCAACTATAAGCTTATCAAGGGAATGTCAAGCACCTAATGTGGTGGGTGTCGGAACCACAACGAAGCTGGTTCCACAGGAGAGGAGCTTGGTAACTGAAGGCTCTGGCTCCTGTTCTACTTTTAGAGACTATAGGAACCACAAGTAGCCCAGCATTCAGAGAACGTAGTGTTCTAGGGGGTAGGGTACTATGAGCTCTTTAAGATATGAAGGGGCCTGACCATGAAGAGCTTTATAGGTGAGGAGGAGGATTTTAAATTCTATTCTACATTTTACAGGAAGCCAATGCAGAGAAGCTAGTACAGGAGAGATGTGATCTCTTTTTCTAGTTCCTGTCAGTACTCGTGCTGCAGCGTTCTGAATTAATTGGAGCGTTTTAATGGACTTATTGGGGCAACCTGATAATAAAGAGTTGCAGTAATCCAGACTTGAAGTAACAAATGCATGGATTAGCTTTTCTGCATCTGTCTGTGATAGTATGTGTCTAATTTTTCTAATATTATGTAGATGAAAGAAGGCAGTCCTAGAGGTCTGCTTTATGTGGAAGTTAAATGACAAATCCTGATCAAAGATAACTCCAAGATTCCTGACAGTGGTGCTAGAGGCCAAGTTAATGCCATCTAGAGTAACTATATCTTTAGACAGTGAGTCTAAATAAGAGAGAATTTAATTTTTTTCTGAGTTTAACATCAGAAAATTGCAGGTCATCCAGGATTTTATGTCCTTAAGACATGTTTGTAATTTAGATAATTGATTAATTTCATTGGGCTTGATTGATAGATATAACTGCGTATCATCTGCATAACAGTGAAAGTTTATGGAGTGATTCCTAATAATGTTGCCTAAAGGGAGCATATATAAAGTAAATAGTATTGGTCCAAGTACAGAACCTTGTGGAACTCCATGACTAACTGTAGTATTTATTGAAGATTCATCGTTAACATGTACAAACTGCGAACGATCTGATAAATATGACTTAAACCAGCTTAGTGCGGTTCCTTTAATGCCAATTTGATGCTCAAGTCTCTGTAAAAGAATATGTCATGGTCAATGGTGTCAAATGCAGCACTAAGATCTAATAATACAAGTACAGAGACAAGTCTATTGTCAGAAGCAGTCAGAAGGTCATTATTAACTTTAACCAGAGCTGTCTCTGTGCTATGATGAACTCTAAATCCTGACTGAAAATCCTCAAATAAACTATTGTTATGTAGAAAGTCACACAACTCTTTGGCGACTACTTTCTCCAGAATCTTAGAGAGGAAGGGGAGGTTAGAAATCGGTCTATAGTTGGCTAAAACCCCTGGGTCAAGAGTGGGCTTTTTAAGAAGGGGTTTAATTACAGCTACTTTAAAAGGACTGTGGTACATATCCTGATAATAAAGAAAGATTAATCATATCCAGTAAAGAAGTGCCAATTAAGGGAACAACTTCTTCTTTAAGCAGCCTAGTTGGGATCGGGTCTAATAGACAGGTTGATGGCTTCGATGAAGAAATGATTGAAGTTAACTGATGAAGATCGATAGCAGAAAAACAGTCTAAATATATATCTAAGTTTACATTGACAGAAGTCCCTGAACTTGGAGAGCCACTGATACCTGTTGATGGCAGTTGGTGATTAATTTTTTCTCTAATAGTAATAATTTTATTATAGAAGAAGCTCATGAAGTCATTGCTACTTAAGTTTATGGGGATATGTGGCTCAATAGAGCTGTGACTCTCTGTCAGCCTGGCTACAGTGCTGAAGAGGAACCTAAGGTTATTCTTATTTTCTTCTATTAGTGCTGAGTAATAGGCTCCTCTGGCATTAGGGAAGGCCTTTCTATATGTTTTAAGATTATCTTGCCAATTTGAGCGATATTCTGATAATTTGGAAGAGCACCATTTCCTTTCAGATTTCCTAGCTATTTGTTTTAACTGACGGGTTTGGTGGTTATACCAAGGTGCTAGTCTCCTATGTTTTAATAATTTCCTTTTTATAGGAGCGATAGAGTCTAATGTTGATCGTAGTGAGCCTGTAGCAATATCGACAAGATTATCAATTTCAGAGAGATTAAAGTCGTTATAGGATTCTGTTAAATTCAGACATGGCATTGAATTAAACACTGAAGGAATCTCCTCCTTAAATTTAGCTACAGCACTGTCAGATAGACATCTGCTGTAAGAAGTTTTGCCTAATGGCTTATAATCTAACAACATGAATTCAAAAGTTATTAAATAATGGTCAGATAGGAAAGGATTAGGTGGGAAGACTATTACATGTTCAATATCAATGCCATATGATAAAACAAGGTCAAGAGTGTGATTAAAACAATGAGTTGGTTTATTTACACTCTGACAGAAGCCAATTGAGTCTATTAATGATATAAATGCATTACTAAGGCTGTCAGTGTCAACATCCACATGAATATTAAAATCACCTACAATAATTACTTTATCTGATTTAAGGACTAAACTTGATAGAAACTCTGAGAATTCAGATATAAAATCAGAGTACGGTCCAGGAGCGCGGTACACTATAACAAATAGAACTGGCTGCAATGTTTTCCAGTTTGGGTGAGAAAGACTAAGAAAAAGACTTTCAAATGAATTATAATTTAGTTTAGGTTTAGGGTCCATTAAAACGCTCGAATCCTATATGGCTGCTACTCCACCTCCTCGGCCAGTGCCTCGAGGAATGTGAGTATTAATATGACTGGGGGGGTGGATTCATTTAGGCTAACATACTCCTCGTGGGACAACCAGGTCTCAGTAAGACAAAGTAAATCAATATCATAATCTGATATTAATTCATTCACTAAAACAGCTTAAGAGGACAGAGACCTGATATTTAACAGCCCACATTTCATTCTCTTATTTTGTGCTACTGAGGAGTTAGTTTTAATTTTTATTAGATTTTTATGTTGAACTCCTCTTGTTTTTATTTTTTTAAATAATTTAGGTGGTCGGGGGACAGACACAGTCTCTATGGGGTTTTGGGTGGGTGACTGTTCTAAAGAAAGCGCAGAGAAGTGTGTAAGACAGCAGCTCTGCTTCCTGGTCCTAACTCTGGACTGTCAGGTTTTATGACAGGCCTGTCTCAGTTATTACATGATCACCTGATTGTGATTATTTGAGCTGACAGCAATCATTTTGCATAACCACATTCAAGGGAATTGTAACCCTTAGGTTACATAGCATTAGGTTCTAATATCAGGTATGTATTTGTATATGTAACATTCTTTTTACAAATTCTTTCTTCTCCTTGACGCTTGACCATTGTTCTATTAGCTCTTTGGTTGTTTTAAGTATATTGTTTTTTATGTAGGAAGCCCCATAACATTACTGACTTACCCAAAACATTTCTGTGAATATAATGAATTGTAGTCTCTAAGCAGCAGCAGCAGCAGCAGCAGCAGCAGCCAGTTTGCTGCTGGCGGTCGAGAAGAGGCATAAGCCATGAGCCTATAAACTCCAGAGTGGAAGGCACAGGTGAGCTATTGTACCACAGTGTGTGAACATTGACCAAATTACTTCAAATATCACCACTATTTATACCCATATATTACCAGTGACTTATGCTTTTTATCATTAATAGTAGAATACACTGAAGAATACAAAGACAAAAATTGAAAGGGAATCAAATGAAAAGAATAAAAAAATAAGACTGCATGTTTTGGCATGGGAATCAACACTATAAAGTGGGCTGATCTGAGGCACGAAAATGAGTCCCACTCTGGTTCTGCAGTATTAAGTACACTTACAGTATGTACTTTCCATACATTCAGCTTCCTTATCCCTCAAAGCATGTTTCTTTTCACTCCCACTGTATGTTTTGTATCCACTGTATGGCATCTTTTCTGACCTCCGCCTGTCTGTGGGATGTATCACTAGTAGACTAAAGCATAACACTGAATACTAATCTTTATAACAATTAACAATATTATAAATGAAGATAATATTCTGCACCATAATCTCCTAAATAATGCTTGGTAACAGCATTCAGAAAGTCAATCAGGTAAGTGTCACCAACATAAACAGCTCTCCAAATGCATGATTCAGAAATGTGAAATTAAACATGGCAGATAATATTCTTGCACCAAATTCAATGGTTCAGTGGTTGAAGTTTGAGAAACAATGTCATTAACTTTGTGATTAAACGTACAAATAAATACAAACAAGAATCTGTGTTTCAGAAGTTCTTTGCTGAGTGCAAATAACCTCCTCCTCAATTCTCTCCACACAGCAAAACAAAGAGACCAAAAAGATCCTTCCGTCAGTGCAAAATTCACAGTCCAGTCAAGAAGCCACAAAGAAGACAACCTATTGTAAAGTGGTGAGTAAAAGTTGTTTGAATTTGAGTACTGTACAGTTAAACATGTACTAATCTATTATTGATTGCATTAATTCTGTAATTTTATGAATGTTAATTCTTATGTCGAAAACAGTCTTATTATACAAATAATCAACACATGGTATCCAGAGGATCCAAGCTTGTTCATTAAAGTGTATTTTTAATTTAAACTACAGACTATGAAACAGAAAATCTTTTGTTGTTTGTTTGTTTTGCCTACAAGTGAATTTCTTCATGTGTTAAAGATAATATGATTGTGTTACAGCAGAAAAATGATTTCCATCTACATGATTATCACAGCCCTGGTGCGAACGAGTCTGGCAAAAGGTACGTTTCAGGGTAACTTGGTAGTTAGCAGTATTGGTGGTATTGACCAAACACTACTAAAGATTTATTTATTTAACATTTTAGGAAATCTAAAGCAGCTACTATATCCCATTTTAAGGTTTCATTAGTTACTTGCTAGCATTTTGTTATTTGCAAATGAAACAGAAACCCTTATCAAGTAAAGATTATAGATAAATATATAACACCAATTGCAATTACAAATAGATTTAGTGTGAATATATTTTTAACCTATGACTTGAGTGTGTTTGAATATGATGATATATACAAAATCGAAAGATATTTTTATTACAATGGTCATATATAGTTTCCTTTTTCGGTGAATGAAATGCTAACTGCTATGTAGTATATTAAGTTGTCCGTTGTTCTTGTTTCTATCAGGGTCAATGGAATGCAATTTATCTTTAACTATGGGAGCTCAGCAGTGTTTTGGCGCAATCGGGGAGCCATTCATTTTTCACCTTCCTACGAATGTAACAATGATAATGTTGCAAAAGAACAAAATAACCAACATTTTAACACTGAAAATGTTAAACACAACAAATATGAAAACAATTCAACATAAGGAATACATCAATCACTCAGCATTCTTCAACAATGGCACATTCAGGCTGAATAATGCAAAGAAGAGAGACTCTGGAAATTACCAGCTACAAACATATGGACCTGATGGCATGTTGTTGCAGAAAATCAACATGCATCTAGAAATACAAGGTATGATTTCTTGTTTTATTTTTAATGGGAAAATTGTAGAGTTGTGTTATTGAAATATAAAAACTACGGTCATTACCAATGTAGACAAACAGCAATTCGGTAAATTACTTCCTTCATTATACAAATATTGTAAATATTGTATTCAGTATAGCATATATAGATAATAAAAAAACAATAGGTAAAAATCTGAAATTTGTTACTAACAACCTATACTGTAGGCTGCAATATTATTTAACAGTGCTATGAATACAGTTTGTTAGAAGTGAATTCAAATTAAATATGTAATTTTAATTTATGCAGTAAAGATTAACAACAAAAGTATTTTTATATGTGAACGTGGACTTTCTAAAAAAGGTACACAGACCTAAAATTTAATGCAGTCCAATACAACAGTAATCCAATAGTCCAAAGTCCAATAAATCCTCCCTTAATGAAGGTTATAATCTTTAGATTTTTGTTGAAAGAGAGGTGTTCTTTCAACTTTATGGTCAGGTTGGGGCCTCCAGTTTGGAATGCCATTGAAATGTGTTGCATTATACTGAAAGGACATAATATAGGAAATAAATCCTATACCTATATTTCTCTGTTTGAAAATAGTCTCATAACTTTTAAAGTAATATTTTCTACCACTTTTTGTCTAATGGTTACTATATGTTAATATTCCAGCTCCAGTGTCAAAGCCTGCTGTGGCTCAGATGTGTTTGTCACCAGAACAAATGAACATCAGCTGCTCCTCTGAGGGAGATGGAGTAGAGTTCATTTTGACTTTGGACGGCCATTTATTGATGCAGACCAGAGACCACAATCAGTCCCAGAGCAGCTCAACACTGGGCACACTGCCACTGGCTGGAAGTACTCATAACCAACACAAACCCGGTGTTTCAATTGTTACTATCGGCTTACATGGTCAACTGACAGGAAACTTGATGTGTAACGTTCAAAACAATGTCAGCAGAGCACAAACAGTAATCCACCTTACAAGCTGTAAAGGTAATGTATTTAAATACATTATTAAATACCAGTTTCAGTTATCAATGTATATGTTAAAAAAAAATGTATTTGTTTGGTTGATATTATATCCTCATTGCCATTTCACTTAAAAAGACTACTGTAGGGAACAGGTTTTAGATATGTACAACATGACATCGACAATCTTGATCTGTGATTTATCCTTCAGAAAGATCTCCATAGCCCTGAGAATGCCAGGTTTACATCATTTCAATATCTAATTTTGGTTGATATTTATATTTTCTAGGTTCCATTTCTGACTTCTCTCTTGTGACTGTGGCTGTGATAGCAAGTGTCGCCACTCTACTCCTCCATTTGGCTCTGTTTCTTGGTATCAAACATTTCAACAAGAAAACAAGACCCATGATTGTTAATAATGGTAAGAGAAATATGTTCCTGTCTTCTATCCTCCATCTCAATGAGGATCGTACTTATATTTATGCATGCCTGCATTGCTTGTATCTATAAAAATGAACATTTTGATTATTTGATTGGGTAATGTTACTATTCTGTGGTATGCATGAATTGACTGAAGTCTCAAAAGCTTAACCACACATTAACACCTTTTGACACTGTTCAATTTGATGGATTATCTATGTGAGATACATTCCAAGTGTCCGTTTTTACTCCTTTCAGATAACGCTGAAGATGAAATTGTCTACTCAGATGTTCGAGTGATTAAGAATACAAGGAGAACCAGACCCAACTTTCCACAAAATGCACAAAACATTTAGAAAATTGTTAAGTTCATTCATGCATTCCTGCACTTGCTTCTCAAATGTAACAGTCCCTTAAGTGTGTTTATAATCAGTGATGTATATATGGCAAAAAAAAACAACTTACCGTAGCGCTAAATTTAAGCGTGCTAAAAACCTTGTAACAAATATTTTCAGACATCAACGTTTGTGTGTAATTGAGATAGTGTGTGCCGTAGGATTTTGTGAAAACCACACAGTATAATATATACAACTGTAGAAAAAAGTTATGTACTCATTACTTTGTACACATTTGTACATTTTTAATATTGTGACCGGTCAGATTTAAATGGGTATGTTGCTGTTCCAATTGAATTCTCAAATGATTTTCTTAATACATTTCATGAGTGATTGCTGTTTGTCAAATGTTTTTTGCCATTAGTAAATAAAAATGTTTAAAGAGTGATAAAAGTGATACCACATATATCAGATATGAATATAGCTGTGCCTTGAGACTTTGTTTTCCCTTTGATATGCCTTGGGCACAAAAAGTTTGAAAACCACTGCTTTTAAGTCCTAGTGAAACAGCAATTACAGTGTGTGGTATAATAGTTACTTGAGGGATTTGATCAAATCAATATGAATATGAAGCAATACGGAGCTGTATGGACTGATGTCCTCCACCCAGTCATCCCTCCCACGTGTGGTTAGAGGGAAGGGGGGAGAAATTCATAATTAGACCAAAGTTATATTCTGGGAAATGTTAAAAAGAGATCCAAACACACAACTTCTTCTTTAAAATTGGGCATCACTTTAAGTTGCCCTATTTAACATTAAGTATGTAAGCATTTAATAAAAAGTTTATTACACTATAGCACAGTTGTATTGTACACAGATATAAATACATGTTTTAAGTTTTTATTAATATATATTATTTGTCAACAATTGTAAAGATATATTACTCATACATTATGCTTACAACTTCATTATATTATCTTATAAACCATTTATTTAATGTTTATATATCACTTGTAAATACTAAACAGAGAACTTAAAGTAAAGTGTACCCTGATATTGTTCTGCTGCCCTTGAACCTACTGCCAGGGTTGAGCTGCTTGCTCTGTAGTTGGGCTGTTGACATCTTTTGATCTAATCCTCTGAAGTTAACCTGCTCTAGAGCAGGATATCCATGTGTGGGTTACCATGGTGACTCACCCCAGTTAAAAGTAAGCAAAGTTTGTGATACCGGAAAACCTGAGTCAAACCCAATAATAGCCAACACGCATGGCGCTTTGTGATACAAATTGGAGTCTCTTGTGAGAAACAAATAAAGCATGAGAATAATATAAAGAATGGAAATGTGACCAGTTTGACCAGTTAATTAGACCTCATGGCATACTTGACAAAGTAAAGATTTAAGGCATAACTTGAAAGGATGTTTTGCGTTGATTGTTCTAACCTTAACACCCACATGAATTATAACAGTTTCACTGAGTGGTTAAACTCAATTAAATGAAGTTGCAGAGAGGTCAAAATTGCACACTGTATTTTACATTTAAAAAACCCATATCTGTCCAGTAAAACTGCTGGCAATCATGAACAATCCCTCCCACTGCCTCCACACAACACTGGAAAAGCTAAAGAGGAGCTTCAGCAACAGACTCATTCATCCCCGCTGCTCTAAGGAACGATATAGAAAATCGTTCCTCCCCTCTGCAATAAGACTTTCTAATAATAATTGACTCTGAATCAGCTGCTATAACACTATAATTTCCCTACCGGGATAAATAAAGTATTCTATCTATCTATCTAACAGGGATAAAACAATGGTCTATAGCAAATCCTAGAGATTTTTATTTATTTTTTTAAATAAAAATTAAAATACTTAAAAAAGGAAAGTTGAGAGAGTTTTGCAAAACACTGATTTGTAATTAGCAACTGATCAGTACTAAGTACTAATCTCTGGAATCCCTTGCAGTGACTGTTTTTGCAGTTACTAAACTATGGAGATCAAGTAATGTAGTTATCATCTTTGACCACACGATGGAGCCAAAGGCCATAACCAGATAAGGGTAAGAAAAGAAATAACTATTAATATCAGTGTATATCTGGTAACTTCTTTATTCTGGTATGGCTGGTAAACTTAAATCAGCAGAGCACTGTTTCCACTAACTGTAAAATCATGGTAGAGTCCATTTAAAAACATAGGCTGGAATAGACTGTAGAGGATATGGTCTATAATAACTGCAGTGGAAAATGTACTGTACACTAATTGAACATTAGGACTTTAAAAGGTTGTTTTAAAATACATAATTTTCCATTTCCTGCTTCAAATAACCTACATGGACTAGTAAGACAGACTGATCTTCCTTCTTATTTTGACCACAGGGTGGCAATAACATGCTATAAAACACTACTGTCATTACAGGCCTTGCAAATCTAATTTTCATGATTTAAATGTATTATTATTAGTGTAACAACTACACAGTGCTTAATAAATTCAGACAAATTGTGAAAACCTTTACAAAATATATAAAAGCCCACTACACAACCTGAAATATGGGTTGGGGCCAAGATGAAAACAACACCGAGTCTCTTAAACAACTACAGCAACACAAGCAATTATACTAACTGTGCAGAAGGTCAAACACCTAAAAGAAAAAGTGTGCCGGAGTCAGAGCAGAGCCACACCAGCTGCACCTCATCTATAATCAATAGACTGCAATACTTTTCGCTGCCAGATTGTAGCCTCTACACCATCCTGTCAGCTTTGGTTCTGGTCCCTGTGTCCTGTGTCCTGTCACTTGTCAGGTTTACTCTGTCTCCAGTCCCTATCCCCAGCCATCTTGTCCTCTGCTTCCTCAGCCCCAGGTACCCAGCTTCCAGCCCAAGCACTAGCCCCAGTTTTTCGGTTTCCAGCCCAAGCTTCCACAGGCCTCCCTTCCCTTTCCCAGAATTTACAATAAACATTTTTTCCTTCTTTTTCTATCCATCTCCTCACCGTGGAGTGTCTGCACTTGGGTACACAAGTTTAGCCTTAACACCTTTTTTTTATTTTATGTAAATTTTCACATATGTACATTACCAGAAATTGTACCCTAAATAACACAGCAAGAAACAAATATTTAATAACAGGCTGCTTCATTGTTAATCACACTTTTAAGAGTATTTTTAGAGGTCTTTTCATAGCTTTAACCAGACTTTAACCACAACAGTGGCAGATAAAATTTTTTTCCTTTTTTTTTTTATATCATATCCACTACAGTGCCCTTCGGTTTTTTTTTTGTAACATCCTGAGGGTGGATGGAGGAACATTTGGTGGTATACCCAACTTTGATTTTGACAGGTCATCTGCATCACTTTTTGTCAGCTTCTCTTATCATGTCAGACAACAACGACCGGTCATCATATCACTTAGTTATCCCTCGCATAAACAACTCACCACATTTGCACTGTCAGGAAATCCCTTAGTCCTTCAGCTTCCTGTAGTTAAGTGTTTTTCACGGTTTGGCAGAAGGAGCGACTGAGGAAGAGAGAGGGAGATGATGAGAGAGGTTTATCAGAGAGCAATGGGTGAGGATTGTTAACTCTGTGCGTGGTTCCCTGTAACAACTACTCACTCTCACATCATTAATTACCCCTCACTATGCACTGTAGTGCAAACCACATCCTTTTACTCCATTGCAGCTCCAGATGAGTATAGCAATTTCATCTGGATTGTTTTTGTTCATCCTGCACTTGTTCATTGACATGGTTTCTTTTACACAGGTTCTCCAAATGTGTGTTTTTATCTTATTCATTACAATTACACACAGAACATCACATAATCCATCAATGCTTTTACATGTCCTTGAAAAGATTGTGTTACTAATATTTTGAAGTTCTTAATTCTTCACAGGAAATAAAATATAATAAAATAAACATAAACCTGTAGACTCTCTCTCTAAGGTTTACTGTCATACCTGCAGTTGCGTGTTTCTAAAGGGGGATTCCCATTGCATATTACAATCGTCCATCTGTCTTTCTATAAGCACCACAGTACGATATATGCCAGCCCTCACCCACAGCCACAACATTTGGAACTTTACACTTAGGTCATATGGAATACCACTTATGACTTTCCCTACTTTGTCTCCCTGCTACCCTCCCTCTCTCTCTTTCTCCCCCTCTATGTTTTTTATGGGGTGACTGCAGGAGAAAGAAGGAGGGCTTCCCCCTCCGCCTGACGCCCCTGCTTTAAGAACATGTGGCCTGGGAATAATTGGGTTACAACTGCAGCAGTCCAATGAGTTGGCCTTGATTTGGAGAATGACTCCATTTACTTTTGTCTGACTGCCTGCTGCTTCCACAGCTGCAGCTTTTATCCTCCATTCAGACTCAGGACTTTGCTGTATAGATCTGGCAGACAGCCAGATGAGAGAGTGGAACACAATCTTAGCATTAATATACTAACCCATATTCAGTGGGTGAGACGAGAAAATAGCGTGATCCCCTTTCTTATAGGAGGATATCCCTCAGTCTAAGATTATATGTCAAGGTAAAATCTTTTAAAAGCATTCATTATTCAACTAAAATACACTACAAGGAGGTTAAAGTTTTGTTCACTTTGGCAGTCGTTCTGAGCAAAGGGTCCTGTGTCTCAATATAAACATATAGAAAGTCCAATCCTTTGTACAACCTTGTGATGAGAAGACGACTTTACAGTGCACTTATGGTAATAAGTCAGTAAATTAGTTCAACTCGAACACTAATCTGAAATTTGTGCAAATGTGCAAAACATTGATTATCTGAAGACATTATCTTAATTTTCATTGTGTATTTTGTGCATTTCATTCTGGGAAAAAAGGTATGTTTTAATATATATAGATATATCAAGAAACGCACAGACGTATTCAATAATCTTACTGACAGACTAACAGCAAAACCAATGACAATTTCAAATACAAAAGTCACATCACAGTTACTAACTAATCCCTGTAACGGTCAGTTAACGTTACTCTAAAACGTCTTACCGGGGAGTTGAAAGGACAGACATTGACTTCTTCTCGGTGGGTTGACAGACTGGTCTAGCATTAGGTTGTGTTAGTTTGCATTGACAGGAGGGAGAGGAGGAGGTCAGCGTCTGCCAACAGCAAACAGGCCCTCAGTAACTCCAAAATGCCTCTATTTCATTTAAAAGCTGTGTCTTCTTAGCTGGCTTCCAACCTGGAATCACCTGGGTTTTGTTCAAAGATGGAGGCTGTTAGGACGCGAATTATTGGACATCACTAAACTATTTCCACCAAGATATCACCAATAAACATCTTTTAATCCTAATGGTGTGAAAGGAGAGCATATTGAACGACTGAGTAAATAAATACAGACTAGTGCACTGACATATACCAAGCTTTTACGTGTCCTCCTCAAAGGAAAGTTAATTAGAGGCAGGTGCGTCGATGCCATTTTTTTTTTTTTTTTTTTTTTTTTTTTTT